ACCAACCTGTCCTGTATGCCAGTAGCCTGGCCTGGATGATGCAGTGGCGAGCCACCTCTTGAGACACGGCCCCTGGATGAGGAGGCGTTGTTGCACAGTTTTCGCTGAATCACAAAAACTATTATCAATAACAACAACAAAACCCCCCCAGCAACTTAAGAACCTAGTTTTTGGTGAAAATAAATAAGTTCCCAACCTGTAGAAGCCATATTGGTTTTGAGGGAGCCCAGCAGCCACAGCAGCCAGAATCTCCACCAACGCCGCCATGTTGTTCCTCAGGTTGGAGAAGTAGGGCTCCACACACAGGTTCTCCAGGCCCATTTGGATCAAAATCTCCTTGTGTTGCTGGGATGTTCCAACCAAGAACTGTCTGGAAAATTCCCTGAAGTGTCTTAGACGTTGTCTGAAAACAAATTTAGTGTTTTAAACATTAAAACATCAAATTTTGTGTAAATGAAACAGAGTCCAGCCTGTGATTTTTTTTTTTTCTTTTTTTTTTTTTTACAGTGTCCTTGTCATTTAGATGGGATGTTCAGATGCCTGGCGGTGTCTGATAACCACTCATGAAAAACAAGCATCACTTCAGTCTTTACATTTAATTTATCAGAAACAATAATAACAAAAAAGAAAAATAGCAGCTAAAATGAAAGTAAAACTCTTTATTGGTATACTTGCCAGTTTTTAATTGTTAATGCATCCTTGACAAATGTCAGGTTGTTGGAATGTGATAAAATAAGACTAATATATAATATTTTTTTAAATTAATGCACAAATCTTTAAGATCACTTTCATCAGGCTGGAAAAAAATTTCTCCTGAGGTTTTGGAAGATTGTAGGCAAGTCTGGATGTTTCGTGTTTTTAGGAAGCAAATGTTTATGGACGAAAATGCCAGTAAGTATAGAAATAAAAATGAAAGAAATTATTTTATTTCTATATTTCATGCTAATTTTGGCAGGATTGTTTACTTCAATTATTATTCAAAGTCTTCAGTATCTTATAGTAAATAAATTATGTGGAGAATTTTTGTAAGTCTTTTCTGACTGGTACTTTTTGCATTAATCCTGCCCAAACATTTGCAACTAGTTGAACTGTGCAGAATCTACATTGTATATACATACAAGATGTATATGTATATATACATTTGATGTATGATGAGTTTACCTGTTGAACAGGTCCTGTTCATTCATTCCTAGGTCATCCTCGGTCATCCTCTTCATGAAATCGCTCTCCCTGGATGTCTCCTCAACAAACTGCAGCAGGCCAGGCGCCAGCGGCTGCAGCAGCACGCAGATGTGAGGACGGCTGTTGGACTTCAGCTTCTCTACTGCAACTGCGTCCAGCACAACGTCTTCCATCACAGAGAGCGACGTGCTGCTGGCGTTTGTTTGGGTTGAAGACATGGACCTCAGCATGCTGATCTCCGGATCCCCGGGCCAAAAGGAGATCTGACTGACTCCAGCTGAGGGAGAGAAAAAGCGCAGAGACAATTCCAAAGTTCAGCGTGTTGCCGGCCTACAATAGTCCCTAATAAAAGGCAGCGTAGAGATAACGTTGATGTAGATTAAACTACTAAGACAACCCTCTTCAAATCCTGACACAATAAAGTAACGTCTTCAGATGATAATTGCAGGATAGATGAATGAAAACTGTTGTTTGCTATTTTTATTGCTCTCATGTATCTGTTATTTAATGTAACAAATATGTTGTGTTTTCATCTGGGTAGTGGTTTGAAATTTGACAGAAATGAAAAGAGAAACTACATCTATGGCAGATAAATGAAACAGAAAGCCCATTAAAATGCAGTATCTGCAATTATTGCTGCCCTTAATTATACACTTCCTTAGTTTTCTTTTCCGCAGAAAGCATTCTTCTGATTGACTGTGTCTAAACCACTCCCATAGTTATTGTTTCAATTGTGCTACCTTTTGTTTTCTCTTTAATGGAAAGTTCTTCTGACATAGTAATGTGTTTTCTGTTGCTTTATTTCCTGGAAGAAACTATTGACACAGCTACTCCTACCATTATCTTTATCTACTTAAGTTTTTTTTTTTCTACTTTAGTTTTTCTTTCCCAAAGAGAAAAGTCCTGGGTCTGATTGACTTCATCTCCTCATAAGCTCCAGCATTTATTTATTTGTTGTGTTGCTATGTCTTCCCAAATTGCAACCATTAATGGGTATATTGATACATTTATGTTTGATTTATGTTTGATTTTGATTATTCTGTCCTTGCTCGCTCTAGAATTTATTTTTGTAGACTTTTATAATTGATGTCATTCAGAATATGTTACTGTGGAGTAGTCTCTGCTCTGTGTAATGAGCTGTTAGGATGTCATTAGACTGACGGCAACTGTCTTCAGTCAGAGGCCTCTTTAAATTGCTGCAAGCCTGTCTGCTACTGGAGATCCTTCCAGTCCAGAGCGACTCTATGAAGATACTTGGATGACAAAATGTAATTTCCCTTTGGTATGAATAAATTATTTCTGAATTGAACATGAAGGAAAATAATTGCATGTTTTTGATACTTGCTAATGAGAGGGAACTGTAGTAAAAAGAACTGAACTGTAGTAAAGTCAGCTGCACTTCCTTGGATTTATATATGTATGTTTTACTCATCTGTTTTACTCAACTAGACAGTATATATTTTAATCCATTATTACAATGTATGGGAATATATTAAACTGTTCAATTTTGAGAAAATGTTAGTCTATATTAATCAGTCTCAACTGTCTTTCTCACCATTTATGATCATCTTAAGGCAAGTGGCACAAGGTCTCCTGGAGAAGTAGAGCTGACAGCCGGCCAGTTTTGCACCGTGCTGAATGATGGCTGCTTGTGCTGCGTGAAGGTCGACTCCAGAACAGTGGAGTCCCAAGACTTTCCCTTGATGTACCACCACCAGACCAGTCCCACGGATCTGAAATGGAGAACAGGCATTAAAAATGTCCCTATCGCTCTGGTGTGTGCACATCACTGTTCAAAGCATCTGCCTTTGTGCAGCTTTTACACTGACCTGACTGCGTTCACTGTCCTCAGGTTGATCCCGGGGGAATACCTCCATCCACAAGCTCAACAAGGTAAACAGGTTCACCTTTGACAACTTGGGGTCGTGACCTTGGTGATGACACCACACATTTATAAAAACAATACTGGGACGAGTTATCACTGCAATTCTTTAACACTGCTGGTAAAATGTGCAAAGCTGACTGAGACATAACCAAAAGACAATTAAAACTAGAAATGTTGCATTTCCTGTGAAAATGCAAAGTGTGAATGCTGAATGTTTTCACTGAAAACAGCAAAAGCGTTCGAAGTCAACTGTGGAAGACTTGCAGAAATATAAGAAGTAATTTCCAGGTGTTAAAAGTTTTTTTTAAAAATGGCCTCTGTCTTGTTTCCTCCCTGACAGTCCCAAAACTGGGTGATTCATTGTACCTAGCTAGACAGGAGATGAAACATCATCTGTAAAACACAAATTACATTTTATATTTAATTCTAATTCTGTCACAGGAGGAAGATGTTCCTGTTTTTCCACTCATTTCAGTGGGGATGAAAAATCCATAAAATAACTGATTATAAAAAAGTATAAATGTTATGAATACCAAAAGATGTAGGCAGCATTAGAAGAGCAAGCTGAACACAGCATTCACACTAATAATCTGTTACAACTAATATATTATTAAGATATAACTTATCACAGTAGGTGTGTCATTATAGCATTTTTATATATTCTGTTAGTAAATATTTGGATTTTTTTGCAATATAGAATGAGAATATTGTCCTGATAAGGACTATATACACAAAATCAGCTAATTTGGAAGTATTACTCTGTAAAAAAAAACAAAAACAAAAAAACACTGCACTGTAATATTATAGCGTAATATTGCTATATTACACTGAAGGACACTTAAAAGCTGTGGTTGCCTTTAAGTGTCACTCTACTGTATCTGTAGTAAACCGGCTGTTACATGGCATAAGACAGAAACCTATGCTGCTGAAACATGAAGCCTCTTTCACCTTGTATCTTGCTGTCAGTCTGGGTGCTGCCGTCTTTCGTTTCTCGGCCCGGCCCGGTCTGGACCCGTTCGGTTCGGTTCCATGTACCATCCATTCGGAAAGTAAACCAGGGAGCAGTAGATATATTTCGTTTCAATCGCAGATACGATAAGAGGAAGACTACTTAGGGTATAAACATTGACCCTGTTTAAAGCTTACAAGACGGACCAGCACCGATTCTGGTAGCTTCTTTCACAATAAGAGCTGTAATTGGCAACTGTTACCGCTAACAACCGTAGTTATATTTAAAACTTTTCTCCAATGGAGTACAAACATCAGAAGTTAGATTAAAGTTAAATTTGCCCAGAAAACTTAATTCCAGTTCAAATAACCCACCAACGCAAAAGTCAACATCTTATTTTTGTGCGACGATTAGTAGCACTTTGCGGTTGATTTTTCCTAACTTGACTAATTTGGTCTACTTCCGCAAACTTCCCGGATGTTCGTCCTTAGGCTGACCGAATCCCACGTAAGCAGTTCCGCCGGCTTTTAACTTAATTTTTTACAACAAAAAGTCAACTCGGTTCAATCCAATCATACACCCGTTCCAACTGATGCTAGCAATTGCAATAAATTCTTATTTAGAATCAGTTTCAAAGAAACTGAATTTTAGAGTGGATTGGTATTAGCCACAGATCAAATGTTGGAGCTGAATTAAAAGGTGATTCAGTATCATTAGTTCAAGGGTGTGGACACTTTTTGTAACCTTCACATTTATCCTGACATTTGTGTTTTAGCAAAAATACAAATTAAAATGTCATGTTTTTATTATGACAAGAAGCAGGCCCTTAAAAAAAAAAAAAGGATGTAAAATTGCAAGTGTACCTCCCTTTGTACAAGTGTGGCCTGGGGGCCATTTCCAGCCCCTGGACATTTTTTGTGGAATTTTAGCTTAACCATTTTTTGGCCCATGTCACAAAAAGTGTGTTAGTCAAAAACTCCAGCATTGCTTATTTCAAGGTATTTATTTATTCAGACAAAGAGCATCTTAAAACTAGATATAAAAAAGCAAAAATCATTGCAAGTATTTAACAGCAAATCAACTCAAGGATTTTAGAGTTGTGTTTAAGTTTGCAAAGATGAGCTTAAGAAAAACAAACACAAAAATATAAAAATGCATGTTAAGGAAAACCATCACATCTTCAGTTTCAATCTCCATATTTATACAAGACAAAAAATAAAAACTGTAAACCTCAACCTCATCATTTTAACTGCCCATTGACCTGCTTTACTAGATCTGAAACAGTCCCTAAACAGAACATAAACTAAGATCCAAGATCAAATTCCTTCCAAATAAAGATCATTTCATAACATTGAGAAAATGAAACTGAAACAGATCTTCCTTTGTCCTCCTGCAGACTAATTTGGTCAATAACATTTATTTTTGTCAAGCACACCCAGGCAGCAGGATTCCTATTCCATCTTTGGTAACTTTATGAATACAGTAATAAACCTAAGTATTAAGTTATGTCAAATATTGCTTTAAATCAATTTCAAAACATATACACTGGCAGAAAAACAAGGAAGCTTAGAGAAGTGCAACAGCGCACAACGTCCTTAAAAGTAAACACTCAAATCTCTTTAAAAAGCAAGTTTGACTTAATAATGCAGGCGCTACAGAGCAAAGTCCAACAACAGTCGTTTTGAACTTAAAATATCTTAAACAGTAACAATCAACCAAATGACCTGCACTAATCTAAATGACTTGAATAGATGATATAATTTAAAACTTCAAATGTGGCTTAACCTGGAGCTGCGAATGCAGCACAAAGATGAGCTGCACAACAGTGCTACCAGCCAGTCGTTCCTGCCTTTCGGTTCCTCACGTGCATTGTGCAGTTAAATAAAGTGGAATGTAAGAACTGGTTAAGAAAACTGCACTAGAAAGCACATGCAGCATGTAGATGTTCATATTTGTGAACATTCAAAATGACTCCACAGGAATTGGCCAAAGTGCCGATTTAAAATCCGTAGGCAACTACCATCAGCTCAATATGGCGTGCTGAACCTGCAGCACACCTGCGTGTAAAGTGTGAGAAAGCAAGAGCAACAGCGCTCAGTTTTTGAAGGCTCCGCAGCGGCTGGCTCGGCTGATAAACTCTTTGAGCATGGCTCCGTCTACTTCCCAGAAAGCTGTGGTCTGAGTCACCTGAGTCATGTGGTTTACACAAAACTTAAAGCAAAATTCTTCAAGATCCTGGAAAACAAAATAAAACAAGCATGATTAGATCCAAGAGTGGTACGGAACAGTAAAGTGAAATGAATCAGAGCAAATTATAAGTACCGTAATGTTTAGGATGACATTACTCATGCATCTGTTTAAGTGCACACTAATTGGAGAAATGCAAGTTTTCTCGCCACCAACTTAACTTATTTTATTGGAATGTCATAACAGAGTAGCACATACTTAGGAAGTGGTTTAACATACATTTTTTCAGTCCCTTTAAGTCAATACTTTGCAGGAAAACCTTTTAATACAATTACATTTGCAAATCTTGTCTCCACCAGCTTTGCATGTGTAGAAACGACTATTTTTAACAATTTTGCGTGACAAAATGTAAAAATCTTTAAAGGCATGAACATTTTTAAATTTTCTAGTCATGTTAAAATGTCCTTTAGATGATCATGTGTTAAACATTAGATTCGATCAGATATGGTATTAAGGAGTACAAAGTGTTTACAATAGGGAGCAATTCTCCAAATAGCATTACCTCTGCGTCATATTGAATTGCTGCAGACAGCAGGGTGAAGGCGTTTTCTACAGTGATTCCCCTCTTGATTATCTGCTGACACAGACGTTTCAGGTGGTTTTCACAGTAAGACGTAGCCAGATCCAACAAGCCTGAACCAAAGACAGAAACATTACAAAAAGCATCAGCCTAAATGCAAAGATTATCAGACATGTTTGGAAAACGTGTATTCCGTCTTACCAATGGCGTCCTCGGGTGGCAGATCGACAGCATCTGTGTAGAGAAACTGCAGGAAGGATCTGTAGACGGGATACGAGAACTGGCCGATCTCGATCACTTCCTGTTGATCTTCTGTCCACTGGGAGCGAAACATCAAGCGGAAATGCTCACACCTAACAGCACACAAAACACCTTCATTTATGCTGAGGAGAAGGTAGAGTACTTGTGAAAGGATAAAAGTCAGATGTTTATGATTAGTTATTTTTTTATGTGGTACTTGTGTGCCCTTCTTCAAACGGCGCTCTGGACAATTAGGCAACAGAGAAGCTCAAACGTTCAAATTCAGTTTCATTCCCAGACAGAAATAAACAAACCTGATCTTCAGGACAGCTTTGTGAACATAAATGTATTTTCCATCAACGCTGAACTTAAGGTCAGAGGTGTCTGGACAGTCAAACTCTTCCCTGAGAGCCTGGGAAATCGTCTTGAAGTCATCGTATTCTGAAATAATGAGCCAGTTCAATGGTGTTCATTTTATTGGATATTTAGTGAATACAGTACACTTAATATTTATTTTCATACCTGATAAAGACGAGTAAGAAACCTTAAAATAAATGCATCTTTGATGGCAATGGCAAATTCTCATCAGATTTCTTCCACCCTTATTCATTTCCAGTTAACAGCAGGGGTGCGAATAATTGTGGGTTTCTAAATAAAGAAAACCTGGATTTTTTTTCCTCTCAAATTTTCAGTATAAGAATATGTTATCGCTATAAAAGACCGATTTAGTTCATGTTTTCTTATGCGTCTTTACCAGGGGTGGGGAAAAGTTGTGGAGGGCGCTGTGACTGAGTTTGTCCATATCGTTTTCTTTTTCTCACCCATTGACACGAGGCGCCACGTCACTGGGGGCGTAGCAAAGCAGGCGAACACATCATCCGTGCTGCTGAGGTGGGTGAGGCGAGGACGTGAGATCAACTGGCCTCGGCACTGACCCCACATGTACACCTGGGAAAGCAGGTATATGAATTAGCATTTTAATACACAACCATTTGGAGGTAAAGCCAAGGAAGAGCTAATGATGCACGCTGTAAAGTAAGATATTTGCAGTGCTGTGGCCATGTCTGAAGTGATCATCCTTCATTTATTTAGATTTTTATATTTTTTTGTTGCTGACCAATTAAGGGTGGTTTGAACCTGATTCTTAGTTTGACTTGCTATAAACTTGAATGATTACCTTTAAGATTTATCTTGCTTCGTTGTTAAACTTTGATAAGTACTAGACTGAATTAATTGTCTAGATCCGACTAACTTTCAGTTTCATTCTGGTTAGCTTGACTTTGAAAAGCATTAACATTTTATCCTTTTTGACATTTTCCCTGTCAAAATCTCTGAGGTAGATGTTTGAAGTTTTAAATAAATCATTAAAACAAATCATTTTAACAAGAAATGTGGGGAAAAAAAAAGTTTCCTGAACAATTCTGTCCATATACAAATATTGCAAAGATAAAAATCAGACGTACCTGGCCGCTTGAAGTCTTGGCTGCTGATGTGTGTGTCGAGTGGCATGCTGCAATCTCTACAACCCTACAGGATTACGGAGTTATTTATACACAGCACAGAAACACATGATGGGCATCTGCCCTGAAGCCATTGCGTATGAAAAGGAAAATTTTGCCAAGTGCCGACTACTTCTAGCTTTCTGTGGAAGTTGAAGTCGAGAAGGTTGAAACAAAGACAGGAAGCAGGGAGGCTAAATCCCAAAAGGAAATAGAACTTTTAGTTTCAAATGTGTTCCCTTCCACTTTACCTCTCTTTGTCAGCCATGATTTGCACAGGACTGAGGTGGTTGTTCTTATTGCCAGTTCCTAGTTGACCATAAGCATTTGCTCCCCAGGCATACAGTAGTCCTTCATCCGTTAGGGCCAAGCAGTGTCCATATCCTGAAACAATCTGGACAGCAGGTAAAGAGCTGTTGGAGTTGAATTTGGCAGTCAACCAACGCAGTTAGACAATTGTAAACCATGATTACTTTAAAGCTATACAGCAAGTTAGAAAGTTCTTACTTGTTGAATGCAAAACCCTTGAAGCGTAGTAAGGCGACAAGGAGAAAGCTGATTACTATTGTTCCCAGTTCCAAGCTGCCCGTTTCCATTGTAGCCCCAACCGTAAATCTAAAAGTACAAAAACACTGCATCAAGTCCAGGCTCTTAGAAGGCTTAAGACAACAAAAAGATTAAACACAGCATCATCACCTCTCCATTGTCAACTAGAGCCATGGAGGATGCTTGTCCACATGTGATGCTCACTGCAGTCTTGCCCTGCAGGCTGCTGCAGACTTTCCTTGGGTACGGCTGGTTGGCTGTGGAGCCTGAACCCACCTGGCCACAGTTGTTATAACCCCATGCAAACACCTGCAGGGAGGGTAGTAATGTTTGAGACTGTAATTATTGAGACTCAAAAAACATATGCATAATGTACCGTTTTGGGCCTCAAGATGACTAAATATTAATATAATTCGACTGATTCCATCATCACCCTGCCCTTAATTTTTGAATGAGGCAATCTCATGTTTTTTGTCTCCTGATATATGGTGTACATTACCAATAACAGGCAAGGTGATAATAAAAATAACTCCTACCTCTCCATCGTGAGTGAGAGCCAGAGAATGATGCGAGCCGCATGCCACCTCCATCACTTTCTTGTTCTGTAGGTTTGCCGTGATTGCCACGGCTGAAAATCCCGGGTTGGTCGTGCCATTCCCCAGCTGACTGTAACCGTTATGACCCCAGGCAAACAGCTGTCCATCTGAGAGATGGCAACAGATATACATCCTTTACTTGTCTGATTTTAGAAGTTACAAACACAAACAGCATGAAAACCAAAGTGAGTTTAATTAGCTGCAAGCTAGTTTAAAGTGTTATGATTTGTTTGTTATGGGTGATTAAATCCCAAGCATGTTTGCCTTCAAGCCACACCAAACTAAAAACCATGATCAAATATCTCTTCACAAGCTTATACTCAAGCCAACGCCCTTCTGCTTGATGTGCTGAGGCTGTGAGGGAGTGCAGTATCAGTGTACATTAATGGAAAGTTAAGTGGGTGGAAAAAGTAAAAAAAAAAAATTACACAAGCAACAGAGACAACTGCAGTATTTACAGAACCGTAAAGGAAAAATTCCAGTTTTGATAGGAAAAAAAAAAAAAAAAAACCCTCAATTGAAAATGAATCTTCATGGTGTTTTGCATATCGTTAAACTACTGAGACATTTCACATGTTTACGTTATTCCCCAGAATAACACAGATTCTAAAAGTCACATGACATAAGATTTAAACTTAAATTAGGAGACTTTAGCATTTAACAACCGCTAGAGGAGCAAAACAGACTTCCTGTGTACATACTAAATGAGTGTAATAACCTGCCTTCTGAAGCCAACAGGACATGAGGTCCACTGCCGTAGCTGAGGCTGACGATCTTCTTTCCCTGCAGGAAGTCCAGTTTCTTTGGCACAATGGTGCTCACACTGTCACCTGTCCCAAGGCAGCCACTGCAGTTTAGACCAAATACATACACCTAAAAAAAAAAAAAAATTATGCAAAAAATTTAAGAAAATTTGTGCATTTCACATAATAGCCTCATTTAGATGCAACACTGCAACTTCAAGTAGCTTCCTCCACACCTACTGGCAATTTGGAAAGCTTTTCCTTCAGGATTATCCCTGTTGAAGAGCAAGTATACCTGCAGCTGCCACGACGTTCAGGGATATGTGCAGTGTTCATTTTCTGCCCCACGTAGCATTTTGCATGCAAGCACAAGGCCTCATTTGGTCTCGTAAACAGAGCACCTTCTACCACATGCTGGCTTTGTTTGCAAACGACAAACAGGACTTCTTTTTAACAATGGCCAGCCTTTTATAAAACACAGACACCTGGTCCATGTCATAAAAATCACAATAGAATACATTGAAGTTTGTGGTAAGGTGTGGAGAAAGTTCAAGACATGCAAATACCTTCAAATGACACTGTATACCCTCTTGTGTGTGTGTGACTTAAATCGGTTTGTGCTCACGTCATTTTCTTGAGTGACGTAGATGGCTTCGTTCGCTGATGTCCCAAACACACAGGCCTGACGGACCATAGCTCGCTTCTCGCTGCTCAGCAGCGAGAACAGGGGCCATTTACTGACATCCACCATAACTGCTGCTAATTTAAGCTCCCTCGCAGTGATGATGAGGAAAAGTCAGTAATGAAAGAGTTCAGGAAAATGGTGGGAATGGGGAGCCATTAGGGGAAGGGAGGAAGTTAAAAGGTGGAGAAACATTCCTGCAGACAGAAATGAAGAGATGGTTAGAACAAAAAATACTTTCACACATTCCTTGTTTTTATTATAGTGTCAAAAACCAGAGCAACGTTTATCAAAAGTTGCTTTGAAGAAACAAAGTTTGTCCTTTAGATCAGCATTCCTGGTTTTGACTGTAATTTTATAGTTATGCATAGCATTAATTATAATGCTTAATCCTTCGACTGCTGACTAACTCTAATCCAGCTCCTCTTCCTTCATTAACTATTGAACTAAGCAAAGATAGTGTCATACTTTGTCAATTGGACTATTGAAAGCCACGAGAAACATGTTGTACTACTAGATAAGCAGGGAACTCTTGAATTGCTGAATTTTTAAGTTGTTTGGCTGTGAGACAAAAACTTACCAGCTATATACAACTACGTCATTTCTCTCAAGTACTCTCTTTTTAACCAAAATGGAAAAAATATCTTTATATATTTTAGTCACTCGTGTGAGGCACCACGTCAAGGTGAAGGTACATTACGCATGATTAGCTTAGTAAGTTAAGCATTTTCATCGAACTCTTCTTTCCTAAAGCATCTCCTTACAACGACAAACCTTTAGACAGGAAATAATAGAGCAACGTTGTTTCTTCCCTACCTACATGAACATAAAAACATTCCTATACTATTTACAAAACTCCTAAAAAATTCACAGAGTAGAATCGCTTACCGGGTGTTGTAAATAAAGACAGTTGCCTAGGATCAACTGCCCGTCTTCTTTGTCTTCTTCTTCTGGATCGTTTTATTGGCGGTGTTCTTCTTTGTGTGACTGGAGGTTCGATTTCGTTGCTATGGTAATACAATGCTGCCCCTTCTGGTCAACAGCTTAATTGCAGTTACAAAAAACCAAAAACAAAACAAACAAAAAACAAACAAACAAAAAGACAAATTGGATACATATCTACATTCAATTAGATTAAAGTTTAATTATTTTTATCACAGCTAGAATTGTATTTGCTTTAATCCAAAATAATAAAAAGAAAAAATCTGATTTAAAAAAAAAAAAGTTATTCAGTTCAATACAGTTTATGTGTTGAGTTTCAAGTCCTTTTCTGCAGTCCCTGTGATCCAACTCATGAGGGCGTCAGGGAGTAGTAGTTCTAGTCCGTTACAGGTGTTTCCACACACCTGTTTCCACCTCATGCGCCGAAGTGCGGATGCCAGTGTCAACCAGTAGTGGTAAAGCTCCGAGCCCCATAGACACGTATTCATGTCTATGTCGAGTCCTATTATGTCAAGTGTCTCTTGGTGTTGCTCCTTGCCCTTTTCGCTCCCTCGTCAGAAACATGTGGACCAATCAGAGCTCTGATGTACAATGAAGCTTTATGTGTGGGTTGAGCGCTGCCATACATTAACTCATTTGTGTATTTTCATGTACACAAAAAATATTTGACGAGTAAAACAAGTCAAATAATAGAAGTATTTCTTATAAAACTGTCGTAAAGTATTTTTTTTTTAGATTTGTGTAAGGTGGAGGTTGAAAAACTCATCACCGCGTCATGCACTTGTAGTTACCTTACATGGACAGCAGATGGCGTACGTTCACATAGATTTAGATTACGGTATTTGCTTCTCGAAAGCCACAGGGAACGGAGAGGTGCAACACGTGATCGTTGCAGGTTTTATCGATATTCATGTATCTTTCTACGCCATCAGATTAAGTGTTGAATGTAGTAATCAGTAGATCCTGTTGATGATCTTTGGCATTGATAGAAAAAGTGGGAAGGTGTAGAGCCTATTCCAAAAGTTTTTAAGTTTGAAAAAAACATTTAAGCTACAAAATGTGAAGTCCAAGCAGTGACCTAATAGTGTTGCACTAAGCTGTGGCCTGCAGTCATCTGATATGCCCTGGCCTGGAAGAAGCCTGAGTTTTAATTTTCTATCTGAGCCAACAGATCAATACGTCCACAGCTCTGTGTAAAGCCACATCTCCCACAGAGGCTCTCATTCCACAAATCTGCCACTCAGGGGTAAATGCGGTCACTTTGTGGGGATATAAAACACCTTTTCTTTATGACTCAAATATTCTATAAATTTGTGACTCCGCTGCTGGGGCTGTAAGCACCTTTATTCTCAGAAGTTCTTTGTTTTATCTTCAGGCAGTAATTTCAGCTAGCTCAGTTTTAAAATATGCTGATTTCCTGCCCAGATTGGACACAGATATACTTGGCAGTCGGATTGTTCACAGCAGTTAGGTTAAATATTACTGGTTAGTATGATCACTGTGAATAAAAAACACTCTCTGAATTTATTTCAATCCTGTTTCTTTGATAGAATGACTTAGGTGTTACATTTTTATTTAGATCTATTTAGCTTTGTTCAGATTTTTAAAGGATATTGTTCTTGTCTGTGCAATGAAACACATAAATCTTCTAGTGGTTTTAGTTTCTTCTAAAGTTGGACTCTAATGTAAGTTTTTCACCGTGCACATATGCATGCATGACTTACTGTTTCCTTTTGGTTCAATCTCCGCTGCAGATCTTGGCAGAATGGTGACATCATAATGAGTAAAGTGTTAGCTTGGCGAGCTTAGCGTTACAATCCTTGGTTGTTTGAGTTTTGATCTTTTCCTACTTTATTTACGTGTGATAGGTCTTGATCTACTCAGTTTATTTCTCTGTTTACTATTGTTGGAGAGGTGTTGCCATATTAGATAATTCTTGTATTCTATGCATTTTGTTTTATTCTCTTTCAATAGTTTCAGGCCTTTTTTTGTTTGTAGACCCTTTTCAGTCTTAGTTCATCTTGTTTTGTGTTAATTAGTCTCCTTCCCTTGGTCTCCACACTGTTTTTCTGGTACTGCTCTCCCACATCTCCTCTAGCTCATCTGTTTTCCTTTGCCATTTTCCACCCCTGCCTCAGTATTTAAGCTCTTAATTTTTCATTGTTTCCTGATGGATTCTTCCGTTTCTCTGTCTGTCCATAAATAACATTGGACTTAACTGTAGGTCTTTACTTTGACTAAGCCATTCTAACATATGCTTATGCTTTGATCTAAACCTTTACATTGTAGCCATTTAGTGTTTAGTCGTCTAGGGGTCAACCTGATTCAACAAAGGAAACCAACTAGAGAATAAATGTTGTTTTATTCTGCCTCTCTGGCAAACAAACCAGTTTACAACCTATTCTCAGTCTGTGGTTGCCTGCTGCAGCAGCATGTGTGGATTCAGCACTGTGGACAATGCCAGCTTTGGCTCTGAGTGAACAATCACTGCAGCACACCTAGCCCCACCCCCCAAAAAAAAAAAAAACAAAAAAAAAACCGCAGCGCTGAACACAGCACAAGCCTGTGTTTCTTCTTGATTAAAAAAAAAAAAAAAATCATCCTGCTTGTTCAAGCAAGCCGGAAAACAAAACACTGATGCACTCTAGTCTATCGGAGCTTGAACATCTTAATGTTGCATACGAGTCGTGCAACAGGTTGCCAACAACATACACAGCGTTTGGATTTGGAGTGTAGTTTTGGAGCTTCTGGAGCTCAAAAGGCGGAGCAGCGAAGAAGAAGAAAAAACGGTTTTCCCTCTGGATGAGTAATGCCTCTGCGCCGCATGCCTTCCTCTCTCAATCTCTCTCTCTCTCTCTCTGGTTGTCAGTCACATATTGACGGTGTGGGGAACCACGTGTCTTCACTAACTGGAAACTTCCTCCACCCCAGTTGGGCTGCAGCAAGCTGCACTAGAAAACCGGAGGTAGTTGCCTCCTTCAAAATAAAAGTCATGACAGAGAGTTTGGGTTGTTTGCACTGAACAAGAAAGTGTGACAAACTCTTTTTGAAAAAAAAAAGAAAAAAAGAAAGAAAAGTATTTTCTGCATTATTAGGCATTCAGTGTTTTATCACGCAGCAAAGTAGCTTTGAATATTAGTTTAACATTTAAATAAATGCAAAGTAAATTAGTATTCATACTGCTGGAACTTTTCCTATTTTATCAAGTCATATCTCCAAAGTCCAACATATTTCACTGGGTTTTATGCAAGCACGGTATTGTTATAAACTGGAAGGAAAACATATATTTTTACATGTATTTTTTACAGAAAAAATGTGTAAAATGTAATTTTTTAAATTCATATTCCGGATTCAGCACCGTGTAGACCCAACGTTTGCTCCACCAGCTTTTTACGTCCATTAATGAGAGAACAACGATGCTCATTCAGCTTCTCAGTTGGGGTTAGGTCTTTGTTTTTGCTAGGCCATTTTAGCACATATCCTTGCCTTGTAGAGTTGGCTGAACTGGAAGATAGACATCTGCCCCAACCTGAAGTCTTCTGCAACGTATAACAGGTTTTCTTCCAGGATTTTCCTGCATTTCACATCATCAACTTTGACCAAGTTCCCCCCACAGCATGATGAGGCCATCACCTTGTTTCACCATATAGCTGGTGTGTTTAAGATAATTAGGAGTCGGGTTTTTTTTGTGTGTCCACCTACAAGATTTGCTCAAAGCAGACATGTTTTGACTTTCTTTCAACAACTGCTTCCTTCTTGCCGTTTTTGGTCCTTCTGCAAGCCAAACCATTGAGCGAACATGCGTGGATCGATTGTGCCTTGTCTTATTTTGATGCCGCAAACCGGAACAAATGTTTGCTGTAACCGCTTCCACTTAGTTTGCTGGCTGGGTATCGATAGTCTGTGCACCTTGTCGCGTCGGTCCCCTCAGCGCGGCTGGAGAGGACTCTAATGCCCCGTGACTGGACCGAGACACCGCCGGGCTCCCACGTCTTCTCCACATCCAGTTTCTGGACTGCTGAAGGCTCCACAGCCAGACTCCCGCAGCTTCTTCTTTATTACCAAGGTGAGGAAGAGCAGCAGGAGGAGGCGGAGAGGAGAGAGACAGACAGCAACAGCAGCAGCATCTTGGCGCATTGGAGTTTATGGATTATTGAGAAACGCGAATCAAATATTCATAAGGATTTTTTTTTTAAAGAGGGAAAACACAAGGTGGGATAGTGTGAGAGATTCCCTGCAGTGATTCACCTACAGGAGCACCGCTGATTTTTCATACAGCGTGTGCGCTCAGCGTGTTGGAGTGTGTGCGTGTGTGTGTGTGTGTGTGTTTGGAAAGGAGCCCCCCCTGCTGCAGCACTTTCCTGCTGCACGGACGGAGTGATGCCACCGAGTTGCTGACGGACACCCGGCAGGTTCTCCTCACCCCGCCTCCCTTTCCTCCCCTCCTCCCGCACGGACGGACGCATCGAGCCCCTGCGATCCCCACTAATATGCAATGGTTTTTTGTACAGAAGCAGACAGCTGCCGCGTACAGCCGACTTCACGCTAGCGCCGCCGCATGCCTGACCGTCGCCGCCGCTCCTCTCCCCGCGCCGCGCGGCAGACGACGCCATCTGAAGAGGAGCGCTCTGGGGCTTTTCGCGCCGCGGCGGCCGCGCGGCACCAGCATCAGCAGCAGCAGTAGCGACCCTTCCTCCGCAGCTGAGGACCACCGGCCGCTGGGGCAGCAGGAGACGGGGATCGAGGAGACATCCGCCGCAGCGGTTGCGCTTTTCCAGCCGCACGGGGGCGACGTCGACGCGGAATACGTGCGGCTGGTGGTCTCCGAGCTTGCGGGGAAAGCGGGCGAGAATCCGGGCGAGGAGCTGGGCTTCCTGCTCTTACTTTTGTCTATGGTGCAGATCGGGGGCGCGCCGCACCGCCGAACTGAGCCTGACAGCTGGCCGGTTCTGCTGGCATGCAAACAGGGGGAAGTATCAGCCCACATGCGGTGGGTGAATTTTAGGCTGCCGCATCCGGAGCGCCTCTCTTCTTCCTTCTCTTCTTCTTCCTCCTCCTTTTCCTCCTCCCCCGTCTCGGCCAAATCCATGCG